GGTACGGCGGCGATCCGTATGTGATGGCATAACGATCCGGGCATGGCAGCGATCCATGTGGAGTGGTAACTCCGACTACGACGGCGATCCGTAGAGGGTTATTACTATTGGTCGTGTTTTGATAACCCCGACTACGGTGGCGATTCGTAGAGGGTTATAACGATATTTTTGTTTTGTTTTATAAAAGAGTTTTGAGCTAAGTCTGAGGGGTACTGAATAGTCCTAGAGTCTGGACTCGTTTTAAAGAATCGAACAAAGAAAAGTTAGGAGAAGAATGTGAATCGATAGATTGAGTTTTGTTTGAGTTGAATGTTGATTGAATTGTTTTCTATTTGATTGTCTATTCTGGGTACGGAGGCGAGGTTTATAGTCTTGCAACCTTACTGAGCTATTCGCGTAGCTCACCCTTTCATTTTTCTCCACAGGTGAAAAGTGAAGCAGATTATTTTTGTTGGATTTGGTAGTTTGCCAAAAAGACGAAGATTTAGAGTTTCTATTTTATTTATTCAATTTATTCATGAAAGTAATATGCAGACTTATGTTATTGAATTCATTGTTTTAGACTTCCGCTGTAGAGTCTGATTTTGATGGTTGATTTTAGAATAAATCGGATTTTTTTCTTAACCCAAGTGACGATTCAACGATATCCGAAATACCGGATTTTTGGGTCGTTACAGTTACCATATCTGACTTTTTTTTTGTGCTTACATTTTGAATTCTTTGTCGCAGCAATACGGATCCTTCGAGATCTTTTACAATACACATAAGGATAAATGGTTGATCACTATTGAATATGTGTGTTCAAGAGAAAGGAAGATTGCTTATGGAAGGTGGAGAGAGTGTGCATTTGGTAACTCAAGAAAAAGTCAAATACCAAGGCAAAAAGAATGGGAAGAAAAAGTTTACTTCTCAAGAAAACATTAAGAAGGAATCCAAGTGTTTCTTCTGTAAGAAGAAAAGATACATGAAGAAAGATTTACAGATATTCCAAGACTGGTTTGCTAATAAAGGTAACTTACTTACAGTCGTTTGTTATGAATCTAATATGATCGATTTGGTCATAACATATGGTGGATTGATTCCGGTTGTATAATCCATGTTACGAATTATTTACAGGGTTTGCAAAACCTAAGGAAGGCAGTGGAAAGCGAACAATGTATCTATTCGGGAAACAAGATGCGCTCACATGTGGAGGATGTTGGAATATGTTATCTAGTTTTAAGTAGTAGTTATGTATTTATGTTGGAGAAGACTTTTTATGTTCCTGGTTTTTCTAGGAATTTAACACTACAAAAAAATTCGAAATTCCAACCGGCAAATCCATTGAAAAAAACGTCGTTGGAATTTTGATTCCGTTGGAAGCCCGTAGCAATTTTCGACGGATTTCCAACGGTTAAATCCGTGGTATTTTTCCAACGGATTGTCAATGGTTTTCCGTGAATATTATATAACGGATATCCGTTGGAATATGCCATTAAAAAAATACCACGGGTATTCCAACGACACTAGCAATGAAAATCCATTGAAATTTTCGTTGGAATGATCGTCGGAATTTTACAATGAAAGATATAACGGATATCCATTGGAAATATTTCTAATGGTTTTCCAACGGATATCCGTTGCAATATTAGTAACAGATATCCGTTGCAATATTATGTTGGAATTTTGTAACGATATTTATAACAGCTTGTCATTCAAATCAGGTTAATGTTCCAAAGGGAATCCATTAAAATTACCGTTGGAATAGAAAAAAATTAATAAAAAGTATAAAAAATATTTAAAATTAATAAAAAATAATATATTTATTTTATTTTTAATATTTATTATATTTTTTTTACTAAATCTATATAATTATACTAATTATATATATTTATATTTTAATATATATAAATATATATATATATATAACAAACCAAATTTAAATAGAAATATTGTTCAAAACAAAAATTAAATATTGTTCAAATATAATTAAAAACTAAAACTAAAATATTCAACACAATGAATTTCTTCGTCGTCACTGGTCTCGAGATTACGTATCGTGGTTTCAGTGTCCGAGGTGGCATATTGCTAACCAAACGATCACCTTGCATTAGCTCGACAATTTTTCAAGGTTACTCACTTGTTGCCTCGTCGTCGCAAGTTGTTGTTCGAGCGTCTCGATCCGTCATTATTGTTCCAGATCACTCTGTATGTCAGGAAGAATTGCCGCACCGAAATCATCGAACACATTTCTCTGCAACCGTCCAATCCGTAGATACGACCTTTATTTAGAGAGACCGACTAACAAAAATATAAATGATTTTAAATAAATTTAAAACAAACAATAAAATTAAATTTTATAAAAAATATTTTAAAATTTGTTAATAGCAACGATCTTGATCAATTGGAGAGAGACCTAATGAATAACCTGCAGATTCGTCAATATTTTGTGAGAGTTGGGTGAGTTTTTCAATCATCGCACTTACAACGCGTTCAACACAGGGATCGACATACGATCCATCAGATTTCTTGTGTGTCTGAGCGACCAACTCTACAATTGACGTCGCCCTTCCCATTTCTTTCTCCTAATATATATATATATATATATATAGTTAAAAAAATTATTAATATGGTAAAAATAAACTTATAAAAGTAAATAATTTTAGAATGATATCATCTCTTTTTGCTTTTTTTTTTAACGATTTGGCACCAGAGGTATGGCGATAAGGACCATCACCCTCAACTTTTTGGGCTAGACGACTTTGTTTCGCCTTAGTACTCTTGTTCTTGAAATTTTCTGAATTCCAATGCGACACAAGTTGTTAATAAAGATCATTTGTTGCCCAATCTGGTGTCAATCCATGCAGTTGATGGCGATGTTTAGCACTGTTCATCATTTGTTTCAACCATTGCATTTCAAGCTAGTTGAACTCTTTATAAACTTTATCGGTGTATTTTTTCCAACGAAAAGATTGTTTTATAATAAAAAATAATTATTAATAATTATTTTTTATAATTAATTGAAATTAATTTAAAAAATATAAAAAAATTATGATAAACGAATGCCACCAAACACGTTTTAGGTATTCTGATATCAACGACCAATAGTAATAGAGTTGAGGAAAATTATACATTATTATTGACATAAATCTTTTTCTCAACTCTATCGTTAACTCCAAACATAAATATTTTTTTATTAAAGTTGATTACATAATTAGAATAATTTAAATAAATTAAAATCAAAATTACTATACCTCTTCAAATTCGGGGTCAATGAGTGGAATGGACCAAGAGTCGAAGGAGTTTAAAATCTCATCTACTTCTTCCAGAGTGATATCTATCTCTGGAAATATCGGCGGTGCATCTGGCAGATCGAGAAGACATGACGATGGCGCGACGGCGCTCTAGATGAACCAACTAACAATCCACCATGACCTGAAAAACACCTACGAAATTGAAAAAAAAATAATTAGTAATATAATAAATAATAAATAATAAAAACATAACAATTAAAAAAATTATCATTTTTTTCGATCACTTTTTCTTTCCCTCTCCTTTTTTTTTGGTTGAAGTCGGATTGTGAATGAGGAGAGTGGCAGGTTGCGATTATATAATCGAATTTTCCAACGGATATCCGTTAAAAATCGTTTCGCGTCGTTAATGTTTCAAACTCCAACGGATGTCCGTTTGAATTAATGTTTCCAACGGGCATCCGTTGGAAAATGCCTCAATTTTCTCGCCAGAAGCCAGGCATTGCGGAACACATTAAATGTTGCACAGATTCCAACAGATGACTGTTGGAATTTCTGATGACCTTTCGTTTCTTTCTACGTGTCCTCCAGATATTGCTAGTAAGATTTTCCATATGCAACATGTCGAAAAACCGTTTTGTTTCGACGTTTGGCTCCTCCTCTTGTGAGTTTTGATCAACCAACGCCCTAGAAAAAGCATTTGTCACCATTTCAACAAAAGGATTTCTTGAAACTTCATCTACATCATACCTCTGATTGGCCGACACATATCCTGTCATTGTAATTGTCCATATTTCTTCTCCATAGAATTGCCAAATGTAATAGACATCCATAAATCCCGTTCGAAATGGATGTTTACAAACATCTTCTTGACTGCGATATTTTAAATTTCGAAAGATTGTACACGGATATAGCATTTTTTCACGTTCTTGGCACAATGGTTGCATCGAAAGAAAATTCATAAATTGCTCCAAACCGATAATGAATTCTTGTGTTACCTCTTTTGTAATCGGATCAACTCGGTTATATATCCATTGTCAGAATGAACGGATATTCGGATTTGGTGAAGAAAATATTTTTTAGAGAATTTTCGGTGTAAGGATAGTAGAAGAATGATTTAGAGAGTGGTTTGGGAGAATAATAGTTAGAGGGTTTAAGTAGAAGAAATTTCCAATGGACACCCGTTACAAATCTGTTGGAAAAATTCGGTCGTTACCCATTCCAATGGACATCCGTTGGAATTCTTCGCCCGTTATCTTTTCCAACGAAATTCTGTTGGAATAATCCGACCATTATCAAACGTTCGACTTTTTCCAACGGCTATCCGTTGGACAATTTTAACTCAAAATTCCAACGATTATCCATTGAAAATTGTACAAATATATAACAGATATTCGTTGGAATTGTTGGCCATAAATTCCAACTGGTATCCATCGGAAAGTAAGTAAAAAATTTCCAACGTTACGTATCCGTTGATATGCCGTTGAAATTCCAACGGATTTCTAACGGCAATATCCGTTGGAATTATGTTGGCAATCCGTTAGAAATATACCAATGGATATCCATTGAAATTCCGTTGAAATAATTCCAACGGATGTGTCCGTTGGAAAAGTCCGTTGAAAAATATCTTTTTTTTTGTAGTGTAATGTACGTTTCAAGACTCGTACCTTTTACTTATTCCTTTAACTTTTCAGACTATGGTTTCAATCTTATCTATAAATCTGAAATTGTTGGGAACGGTACATTGTCTGATGGTTTTTTCGACTTACTGTGCAAAATGATAACGTTTATGTTACGATGCATGTTCATGTTAGTATTAAAAAATGTGATGTGAATGAAGAACCCTCTATGATATGACATCGGAATTTGGGACACATCTCCATTGAGAGGGTTAAAAGATTAGTAAAAGATGGTGTACTTAGTACTCTAGATTTTTCTGATTTCAAAATCTATGTAGACTGTATAAAGGAAAAACAGACGAACACATCAAAGAAAGGTGCAAAGAGGAGTTAAGATCTATTAGAGATCATACATACAAATATATGTTGTCCAAACATGGATGCATCTCGACAGAAATATTTAGATAATTACTCGCGATACATATATCTCTATCTTCTTGATAACAAGAGTGAAACACTAGATGTTTTTAAACTCTTTAAGGCAGAAGTAGAGAAATAATGCGGTAAGCAAATAAAGATCGTGAGATCAGAGAGGGGTGGTGAATATTACGGTAGATACACTGAAAATGGACAAGCACCCGATCCTTTTGCGAAGTTTCTTACTGAACATGGGATTGTTGCCCAAAAATAAATTAGATAAGACAAAAAAAGAGCGTCCTGGATCATTACATAGGAATCCAAATATGAAGAGAGAAACAAAGAATATAACTACAGTGTAGACAAAAAGTTTGAGAGTAAGCCCGACCCGGAATGGTGTAGTGGAAAGAAGAAACCGAACATTATTGGACATGGTGTGGAGTATTTTACTCAAAATTCCTAAATCCTTGTGGAATGAAGCTCTTAAAATGACAGTGTACATATTAAACCGAGTTCTAACCAAGGATGTCTCAAAGACACTTGTCGAGTTGTTTAAAGGTTGGAAACCGAGTTTGCGACATGTACACGTTTGGGGATGTCCGTCTGAAGTAAGAGTTTATAACCCACAAGAGAAGAAGTTATACCCGAGGATAATTCGTGTATATTTCATTAGATATGCCGAAAGGTCTAAGGGATACAGATTTTATTGTCCATCTCAGAGTACAAGGATTGTGGAGTCAAGAAATGAAAAATTTCTTGAGAATGACTTGATTAATGGGAGTGACATATCATTAAAAGAAAGATCTGAGAGTGATCACTCTATTTCACAACCTTCCATTTCAAGTCATGTTCGAACTGTTGTCGTTCGCCGCACTTATCCAGCTCTAGCGCGTATTGAATAACCAGTTCTCGAACCTCCACAAGCTGATAATCTGGTAGATCATGCTCAACAGATGACTAAAATTGTTGAACCGATTGTACAATATGATACTCAAGAGAATGTTGATACAACTTTGAGAAAATATACTAGAGTATGAAAATCAACAATTCAGAATGACTATATGGTGTATCTGCAAGAGTGTGAGTATAATGTTGGAGCCGAAAATGATCCTGAAACGTTTTCACAAGCCATGAGTTGTAAGGAATCTAACTTATGGTATGTTGCCATGAAAGATGAGATGGATTCGGTGGCATCGAAAGAAGTCTGAGATTTTGTGGAGTTGCCTAATAGTGTAAAAGTCATTGGTTGTAAATGGGTCTTCAAAACCAAGAAAGACTCATTGGGCAACATCGAAAGATATAAAGCAAGACTCGTAACCAAATGATTCACTCAGAAGGAAGGAATCGATTACAAGGAGACTTTTTATCTTGTATCAAAGATAGATTCTTTTCGAATGATCATGGCATTAGTTGCCCATTTTGATATGGATTTACATCAAATGGATGTGAAAACGACATTTCTCAATAGTGAACTAAAGAAAGACGTTTACATGAAACAACCTGAAGGATTCTCCTCTAGTAATCGTGAGCATTTGGTTTGCAAACTTAAGAGATTCATATATGGATTTAAACAAGCTTCCCGTCAATGGTATTTGAAGTTTCATGGTGTCATTTTTTCATTTGGCTTTGAAGAAAATACCATGGGTAACTGCATATACTAGAAGGTCAATGAGAATAAGATTTGTTTCCTTATTCTATATGTGGATGACATTTTACTTGCAACCAATGATAAAGAGTCGTTGTATGAGGTGAAACAATTTCTCTCTAAGAATTTTGATATGAAGGATATGGGTGAGGCATCTTATGTCATCAGCATTAAGATCCATAGAGACAGATCTAGATATATTTTAGGTTTGTCTCAGGAGACCTATATCAATAAAGTCTTGGAGAGGTTTCGGATGAAAGCTTGTTCACCGATTCCAGCACCTATTGTGAAGGGTGTAGGTTCAATTTGAACCAATGCCTGAAAAATGAGCTCGAAGACAAATGAAGAACATTCCATATGCTTCTATAGTTGGAAACCTTATGTATGCTCAGGTTTGCACAAGACCTGACATTGCATTTATCGTGGGAATGTTAGGGAGATATCAAAGTAATCCAGGTTTGGACCACTGGAAAGTTGCAAAGAAATTGATGAGATACCTACAAGGTACGAAGGATCACATGCTTATGTATAGACGGACGAACAATTTAGAGGTCACTGGTTACTCAGATTCAGACTTTGCTGGTTGTGTTGACTCGCATAAGTCAACATCTGGATATGTATTTATGCTTGTCGGTGGAGCTGTATCATGGAGGAATGGCAAGCAGACATGGAAGTTGAGTTCGTTTCATGTTTCTAGGCAACGTTGCATGGTGTATGGTTGAAGAGTTTCATATCCAGGCTTAGAATTGTGGATTCTATTGCTAAGCCTTCGAAATTATATTGTGATAATTCAGTTGTTGTCTTCATGGCTAAGAACAATAAGAGTGGAATCGGAGTAAGCACATCGACATCAAGTACTTAGCCATAAGAGAACGTGTTGCGGAAAAGAAAATGGTCATTAAATACATTAGCATTGAATTGATGATTGTCGATCCTCTGACTAAGGACGTGCCAATTAAAAATTTCAGAGATCATATTGTGAGTATGGGACTTGGTTCCATGATGTGATTATTTCACTTGTACGTACGTTTATGTATTAATGAAACTCTTATTAAGTTGTGAGTATCTTTTATATGATGAAGTGTACACTATAATTGATATTGAAAAGACTCACTTATTTGGACCTAGAATAATCATAAGATTTATTCATTAAGTCATGTTATATAAAGTTTAAAGACACATGATATATTATAATATATGGAAGATAATACTCATACTAAGAGAATTTATCGCCATGATTCATGTATTGTGTTTCTTATAAAGATGGTCAAATGTTAACATATTAAGAGTAACATATGGACCAAGTGGGAGAATGTTGAAAGTTTTTCTATAACCGCCCATATTGGAAAACTTTTACGTTACTGATTAGTGGTCCAATGTTAATTACATGTTAATTACCAAATATCAGTTTTTTTATGGAAAAAAAAATTATAAAATAGCATAAATCTGAGTCCCTAAGCTAAGCAACAGACAGAACAAAATACATCGCCGTTTGTGATTACTATAGCTTAGAAGAATTCAGATTTCAACTCAAAGATATTCAATAAATGGAAGTATATTTTTCGATTCAGAATTTTGTTTTCGCATTCATGATCTTATATATTAAAGTATTAAAGTGTTTCATATTAAAGATCTCTAGTTTAAATGAATTTTAAACTTTCATATACTATTTGACTTTTATACCGAATCTGATTTCTATCGAAGCGATTCAATTTTATTTAACCACATCAATGGACTCCTGAATTGAACAGGCAAGGAGATGAAGCAACATCCATTGTGGGTTCTGCATTCTGATAATTAAAAAAAACGTATGAGAGGAATAATATCTGAAAATACAGTGAATCATGTGCGTGGGCTTTCATAACTCAACCATCATTTTACTTTATGCATTTTTTAATTAATAAAATAATTCCATGTAACAAACCTAATTTTACAAGTAGAAAACAATGATTACTGTTATTAAAAAAAGATTTTATATTTACTGATCAAAACATTGTTCGGTTACGGTGTGAAAAAAAAAATCTAAATACAAAATCAATAATCACGGACAAAATGGTTTCGTCACTTAATTTCAAGGCTACTATTATCAAAATATGTAATCATAAATCATAGTATATATCATATTTTATGATTCTAAATGGTTTTTCTATATTCTCTTGTTTTCCGACACGATCGTTGTTATAGATTTCGAATATGTTTTATAGCCTCAAAAGTAATGGTGCAATTTTTTTTTTAACTGTGCTTTGTATTTCTACTCAAAATTGTGATTTACATAGCCTCGTTTAGGCTTTTTCAGAAGATCCCGACAAACGGTCAGCAAATTCCCATACACAAGTGGTGGACATTTCAAAACTAAAAAGAAAACCGTAAGAATCAACGATTTCGCGTCAAATAGTACCAGTGTTCAAGCAGTCGGCAGTCAATGCATTGCCGATGGGATACCTTCACAGAAAGTAGGGTGTCGCGCAATGTCCGGTCAATTTTTCCTCTTATATCCGCAGTAGTTCTGGATTTTGATTTGAAAATCCTATTGTTTCTCTCTCGCCAAATCTCATATGCCGCCAGTTGTAAACAAAAGCGTATCAAAGACGGTTGTCCTCGGCTAGTCTCATGTGTTGGCTGCTCAATCCACTGCTTGCATTTTCCTAGGCCAGTCGGCGGCGATGGCCAGCAGAAGGACGCCATTATTGACCAAATCTCTCAGCTGAATGGGCATTTGAAGAATAAGTGTTCATGTGTCTCCTCCTCTTGGGTGCAAAGGCTACAGGTTCTATTGATTTGCAGCCCCCAAGATGATAGTCTATCAGATGTTGGTAGACGTCCTTGTAGAGCCTGCCAAAGTAAGAATGCCATCCGCGGGATGGTGCAAATTAGATGCATGGATGAATCATTTTGCAATGAATGCATTACATATGGTTATATATACATACACATACGTATATGTATGCATGTATAAGTATCATTCTTAGATTTCGTCACGTAGGAATATTCTTTGTGGACATCCATGCGGTTTCAAGTGGTGTTTTGTTGAAGCACGACATGGTTGTGTTGTACGACATCGTGGGCTTATGGATATGAAACTCGTGTTAGTTCCATAAATTAAATGCAACATTTATTGTTTCTTTCAATTTTTTTTAATGAAATTAGAAAAGGTATATATTATTTTTCATAAATCCAGAAAATACCATATAAGTATCTAAATTTTTCAAAATGTGTAAAATAAATACCTCAACTTTTAATTTGATAATATAATACCTCAAATGTTAAAATGTTCCAAATAAATAAATCAACACTTAAAATTGAGGGTACTCTCAATCAAGACACTTACATATTTGTTAAAAAAAATATATAAATAAATTTGATTTTTTATTAGGAATTACTTTCATGACTTTAGATATTAATTTGGCACATTGATGTATTAATTTGGTATTATGCTAATATTTAGAGTATTATATTATCAAATTAAAAAATAAAGTATTTATTTAACACATTTTAAAAAGTAAGGTAGTTACAAGGGATTTTTCCTAATCCATATTAATTAATTGATTATCAAATTATATCTCTATTCGATCATTTTTATTGTCTAAATCATTTAATCAAATATATTCCATTTTATCGTGTATATATATACATATATAGTTTCATGTATGGTCCAACACATTTCTGATATCAACCAAACACCTTTCATTGGTAAGAAAATAAAATTTTAATTCTTTAACAAAAAAATAAATATTTAATTTCACAAGTTTTTTTATGCATGTTGCGGTTGCACCACAAAATGCGTTGTAAGCTTTTTCAGACCCCCTTTTTTCAATTTCACTTTTTCCCTCACTATTGTATTTTTCATAATTCATGAACTATGTATATTATCATGGAATTCTCATCGCGGCGTTTATAAAAAAAATAAATATAAAATCTTATATATTCATACGTTTCGAATAATTAAAAATATTTTGTATGACATATAAGGTTTTAACATTTATATAACTATATAATTTCTTATAGAAATATTTAACTTAAATGGTAAAGAGGGTAAACGATTAGATGTCATTTACGATTTCTGGCTACCAATGTCTCGGTCTAGATTCTAGGAATCGGTCGTGTCAAATGAACAATCGACGGCCGATCTTTAAAATAAAATAAAATAAAAATTTGAAAAGAATCTTCGTTGGGAACAAAGTCTGCTAATCAGTGCATCTCCACCGTCCATTTAGATCCAACGGTGAAGGAGCATTTGGCATCCATCCTTTTGTATAAAACCCACATTTGGGAAGTATATGTTATTATTTGTTAATGATAAGCAGAATCCAACCATCTCTTCCTGCGTTATCCAATTAAACGCTGGTTTTTACCAAATTAAGCACTTGCTAGAAAGAGGAAGACGAGCAAGGGTGTTTTTGTCATTCTTTGCTGACTCTGTATAATTTCCTAATTAATAATATTATATTTTAATTTTTATTGCCGAAATGGCATTAGGGATATTACGGTCATTTATTAATGAAGGGAAAAATACTTTGTGACCAGCGTACAAACCGAGACTGTCGCCGAGCTCCCGTCTGCTCCATCGCCATGTGATATCTCTCTCTTTCTCTGTGTAGCTCTGCAACCCTTTTTGTTGTTTTCGAAAAAAAAAACTTCTTTTTTTATTTTTTTTCTGGATCAACTCGCCGGATTCCGACGAACCCACGAGAGAATGATGAGAAGGGCATCGAATTTTGTATATCCAAAAGTTTAGATTTTCCGAGAAATTTTTTCGCTGCAATTTTTCATATCAAATATCAGTGAAGACCCAACGGCTCTTTCTCCGCATTTCTCCGGTCTCTGTCCCTTCATCTCCACTTCTTCATCATCATCGTCTCTCACCAGAACCAGAAAAACCCAGGAAGAGAAAGCTCCATTACAGTGGAAAGGCTTAAACCAACACGAAAAATAAGCGTTGTTTCTGAGGAAATTGTTCGTTTTGTTGGTGGGTTTTGTCATATTGTTTTAAATGAAGGGATAAAGAGAGCGCGCAGGAACAAGGGGGAAATGGGGTTTATAGTGAGAATGCAGCTGAATCACAGAGGAAGAACAGCAGAGGAGGAGAAGAGCTTCGCCGTTGTCTTCTTATTCTTCTTCAGAAATTATTGCAAATGGGTCCTCTGTCTCTTCCTCTCTCTGTATTTCTTCACCTCGTACTTTGTCGAAGACAGGCCGTCGTTGTCGTCTTCGTCGAGCTCTGTTCTCAGAACCCATCTTTCGGCTAGCCATAAATCATCTTCGTCACTCGCATCTCGTGCCCTGATTGAATCTTCCGCCGTTAACATCACCTCAATGGTGAGACCAGGTAGAGACTGATGTTCTGTTCGGATGGTCAGACGGACCAGATCTCTCCTCCTCCATCTTTTGTCCCCTCTGATTTTTCTTCCTCGTTTTCACATTATTTTCAAGATCCTGAGGACAAAGATTGGTCTTTTTCGTGATTTCTTCTGTGAATTAAATGCCGCCTTTCTCCAAATGAGTGGCTTCATTTGTGGATTAATTGCTAATGCATATCTTTCATGTGTTCTTTTGGGTACTAATGAACTAAATTCAGTATTTTGATTCATGTGTTACCTCTTTTAATCTTCTCCAATTTTATTTTTCAGGTTATATTCACATTTTTATCTAGTTTTTTTTTCCTTTTACCAATTTCGAAGGTATATTCAAAGGCATGAGGATATACATCTACGACTTGCCGGCGAAGTACAACTCCGACTGGGTCGCGTCCTCCGACCGCTGCGCCACCCACCTCTTCGCGGCGGAGGTCGCCGTCCACAGAGCCCTCCTCTCCGCCGCCGCTGTCCGTACGACAGATCCGTACGACGCCGACTTCTTCTTCATCCCAGTCTACGTCTCCTGCAACTTCACCACCTCCAATGGCTTCCCTTCGCTCGGTCACGCCCGCTCCCTCCTCGCCTCCGCCGTCGACTACGTCTCGACCCGGTTCCCGTTCTGGAACCGGACCCATGGCTCCGACCACATCTTCGTTGCGTCCCACGACTTCGGCGCTTGCTTCCACGCCATGGTCAGTCCCCTCTTCACCCTCCGGATGGGCATTTCAGTTTTTGGTTCGGTTCAGTTCGGTTTCCAGATAATTGTTCTAAAATAACCGAAAACAGTCAATTAGGATTCATTTGGTTTTGTTTTTTTTAACGTTCTGGATTTTTAGTGAGAAACTTTATAAGTTTTTGTAGGAAATTTCGGCTATTTCGGTTGAATTTGAACTAATGAAAGCGTTGTTGAATTAAACCGAAACACATTTTGGTTCGGTTTTATTCGGTTTGGTATATTATGATTTTGCACTAAGAATGTAACGATGTATGTTTTTTCTTTGCATTTTTTTGGGTGTTCTTATGAAGGAGGAAAAGGCGATTGAAGATGGGATTCCAGAGTTTATGAAGAAGTCCATAATTTTACAGACATTTGGGGTCACTTACAAGCATCCATGTCAAGACGTAGAACATGTGGTGATCCCTCCGTACGTCTCGCCGGAAAGTGTACGGATAACACTCGATAAAGCTCCGGCGAATGGCCGGAGAGACATCTGGGCGTTTTTCCGGGGGAAAATGGAGGTCAACCCCAAGAACATCAGCGGTAGCTTCTACAGCAAGTGTGTACATTCATTCATACATACATGTTCATAAGTTTTTGTTGTCTGTAACGGTTCCCATTTATTTACCGAAGTGCCATCTGCGGCGGTTCCAGGGGAGTGAGAACGGCGATTCTGAAGAATTTCGCCGGCAACCGCCGCTTCTACATCCAACGACGCCGTTTCGCGGGCTATCAGTCGGAGATCGTGCGGTCGGTGTTTTGCCTCTGTCCTCTCGGGTGGGCCCCGTGGAGCCCTCGGCTTGTAGAATCCGTCGCGTTGGGCTGCGTCCCCGTCGTAATCGCCGACGGTATTAGACTGCCGTTCCCGGAGGCAGTACGGTGGCCGGAGATCTCTCTCACGGTGGAGGAGAAAGACGTGGCGAAGCTCGGTAAAGTGTTGGGACACGTTGCGGTTTCCAATTTGTCCGTCATTGAGAGGAATCTCAATGATCCGGCAGTGAAGCGGGCCCTCTTGTACAATGTTCCCATGATGGAAGGAGATGCCACGTGGCAGATTCTCTTGGCGCTGTCGAAGAAGATCGATCGGTCGTATCGTAGGTCTATGGTTATTAGCCAATGATGGGAAGACACGTGGAAATTATCCGGAATGGATGCCAGGCTGGCATATATGGTGGAAGATTTTCATAGGGGGAACATGGATTGAACACGTGTTTCTGCTGAGCTGTCGTTCTGTGATTGGATCCACGAGCGATGTCCGCGTTGACCAGCGTAAAGTAATTTTCTGAAAATGTAGGGAAGCAATTCTTTTATTATTAGAAATCTATATATATAAATAATTGTGTCCGAAAGATTGTGGTGAAACCACCTTATCTCAATGTCATCATTCATATGGTAATTTTTTAAAAAAACTAGGAGAGATCCGCGCGATGCACGGGTTATACATTTAAAATATATATTAATTATTTTTTATAAAATGTACTAATATGAATATTGTTAAAAAATGATATAAATTATTAATTGAATATATAGAAGTATTGCGTGTCGAAGTATTATAGACGTTTAATGAGATTTTGAATTTTAAGTGAGTTATTCTGTCACTGAATAAAACCAATGTTCAATACATGATGATATCACAGAGAATATGATCATTTGCACTATCGTAGCTTTGAAATTATTGTTCTTTTAAAAAAAAAATCTCGTTCAACATATGTTCTATACAGTAGAATCTATAACTGCATCGTACACTATTTTTTTCATTCAAATAGTCAAATAGTTTCAAATGCTTTTCGTTCTTTCATAGTTGATAAAACTACAATTTCTCTATCAACTGAGCGTGTTCAAATTCTCTATCAATTTCTCTTTCTTACATAGTTGTTAAAACTACAATTTTTCTTTCTTTCATAGTTTCAGATGTTTTTCTTTCTTTAATAGCATTGTATAAACTGTGTATGAGATCGATATTAATGATTCATTTAAAAAAAATAGTTCTATGGTAATATTAAAAATAATATGATAAAATATTATAGTTATCGTTTGCTTTAAAAATAGTTAAATTTACGTATTTGTAATTTAATGATTAATTTAAGTTTAAAAAAATAAAAATATAATACATATGAATATATTAATAAATAATAAAAATATATAAAATATAATATATATATATATATGCATATGGTAATGATGAAATGATTTTTTATGTTTAGTTTATATATATATATATACATACCATGACCTCAGTTTTATATATATATATATATTTATTTATTTATTTATGTTTAGTTTTTAATTGGAATATTTTTCACATAGTAATGATGAAATGATTTTTTTTTCAATAGAGCAATGACATGTTATTGAATATATTAAATAATTAAAGTTGCTATAGCAAATATAGATTTACAGTAAATTTTAAAAAGTTTATATATTTTGTAGAATTTGCAAACTTCATGTATTTTATGGTAAAATAATATTTGTATATATAAACAATCAATTAAAGAAAATCATTTACCAACAACGATTGGTCTAAGTGGTAAGCGACTTGGATTCGCTTAAGCATGGCTCGTGTTCGAGACTTGACATATGCAGACACTTCTGTTGGAAGACTCACCCACCATAACCAGGTGCGCGACCGGAGTCAGGTCCGGATTAGTCGGAGTGAAGCTCCGGATACTGGGCGGACAACCAAAAAAAAAAATCATTCGTTTATAAAACTGAATATTCGTATTGGGATAGAACTTACTTCCTCCTAGGAAAAACATGTAGAACTTTTACTCATAGTAAAATTGAGGATACCCTAGTTCTCGCATAAAGAGACAAAAAAATTAACATAACGTATAAGTAATCCATGGAAATAAAAAAATATAGAACAATGATTATGAGATACTAAATTCTGCTAGCATAAAAGATTTAAATATAAATATCACCAAAACTGTTGTAAGATGTATAGAGCAAGTTCAATTGGAGCATTTGCACAGGCCATACAAGTATGTTGGACCCTTTTTTTTTAAAAAAAATTATTATATTTATAATTTAATAATAGTATTTAATAAAAATTAAGATAACAAATATTTTAGCAGGTTGTTTATTTCAGTTAATAAATATTTTTTATAACACTCTCCAAAATGAGGTGGACTCTATATTTAAAAAACAATTTTTTAAAATAAATTTATAGTTTAAAATAATATTTAACATTAAATTAAAAGACCTATTTTTTCAACATTGATCATTTGTACTAATGATCAGCATTGATCTTTTAACTCCAAATTTATTTAAAAAAAATTGTTTTTTATATTATACCATTCATTTAAGTTTTAAACATTTTTAGTATCAACAAAAATGTTTTACATATATAGTGGTCACCGCCGTTTGTAGGAAACAGTGAATAGTATATATAAAATACACATTGTCATCATAATGAATTGTATAAGTTTTAAACATTTTTCTACATTAGTGAAGTTGGTGAATGAATGATTCGTTTTCATATCCCAATGATTTCGTCTTTCTTGGTATGTAACTTGTTTTCCACCGTACGTGTGACTAATATTATATGTTATATACTTACATGCACATACATATACATATACACATACATAAGTACATATGTGGGTGAGTGAATGTATAGGCGAATGAAAATCCAAACTTCCAAAAAATTGTAACATGAAAAGAAGATAACTCCATGGAAACCAAGGTTCCATGCACATGGCTTTGAAAGTAAAAATTATTTTAAATATATACATATACATAACTATATACATGTGCACATACATACGCAAATAGATCTATATATATGCATGTATATATACATACATACACATCCATATAAATGTGCATACAAACACATATACAAATACATTCATATATACACATATATACACATAGATATACATATATACACAAATACATATGTACATATATATATATACATATAAACATATATATACACACAAATACATCATTATATACAGATATATATACATATGCATATATATACAAATACATTCATATATAATATCACATATACATATACACAAAATATACATATATATACATAAAATATAAAAAATATATACATATATATCTATATACAAATATAAACACATATATGCATAGGTTTACATATTTTTTATTAAATCATATCACCTATTTTTCATATCCCAATGATTTCGTCTTTCTTGGTATGTAACTTGTTTTCCACCGTACGTGTGACTAATATTATATGTTATATACTTACATGCACATACATATACATATACACATACATAAGTACATATGTGGGTGAGTGAATGTATAGGCGAATGAAAATCCAAACTTCCAAAAAATTGTAACATGAAAAGAAAACTCCATGGAAACCAAGGTTCCATGCACATGGCTTTGAAAGTAAAAATTATTTTAAATATATACATATACATAACTATATACATGTGCATATACATACGCAAATAGATCTATATATATGTATGTATATATACATACATACACATCCATATAAATGTGCATACAAACACATATACAAATACATTCATATATACACATATATACACATAGATATACATATATACACAAATACATATGTACATATATATATATACATATAAACATATATATACACACAAATACATCATTATATACAGATATATATACATATGCATATATATATATACATTCATATATAATATCACATATACATGTACATAAATATACATATATATACATAAAATATAAAAAATATATACATATATATATATATATCTATATACAAATATAAACACATATATGCATAGGTTTACATATTTTTTATTAAATCATATCACCTATTTTTTTAAAACCTATTTTTCATGAGTAAAAATTAGTGATAATTTAATAAGATATATACATATATACATACATAAATTTCAAATCAGATATAAAATATAAATGAATTAAAAAAATACACACATATACATACGTACATATATATACATATATATATGTACATACATACATAGTACATACATATATATAGAGAGATTAAAAATCAAATATAAAATATAAACGATTAAAAAACAACACATATATATATTCATACATATATACATACGCTTACATAATTTTTATTAAATGTGTCACATGTTTTTTTAAAACCTATTTTTCATGAGCAAAAATTAGTGATAGTTTAATAATATATGTATATACACCCACATATATCTATACATACACACACAAATTAAAAATCAAATATAAAATATGAATGATAAAAAATATATACATACAACCACACACACACAAAGACACACATACATACATACATACATACATATATACATATATACATACATACATATATACATACATGCATGCATACATACATACATATTGATTTTTATCAATTTCGGGATATAAAGATAATCATCCATAAATAATTAATTATATATATATATATATATATATTGTCGCTAACATACAAAATTTATGTGTATATATATAATTTGGATATATGTGTATATATATTATCAGTCATTTATATTTTTTCTTTGGTAAAATTTATTGGACATATATATATATATTCTTCCGACTGTCCACATATATTTATATATACATAAAATTTATTTTTCATATATATATATATATATATATAAATTTTGAAGCAAATCACTTTTTGAAATTGAGATATATGGTTGTTCACATAAATCTCAAAGATGCAAAAGAAAAGCAATACTTTGAGATTTCTGGTGTTCCAAACACAGTGTGCGTATATGGGTATATGAAGCTTACGTACAATATAAACAGGTAAATTAAGTTAGAAAACCACATAAATGTGTTTCGATCACCAGAAAATATCAAAGCAACACATTCAAAAAAGAACAAAGGAATAACCTTGTCGTTCCGTTGTACCAAAACTCGAATAAATTCGGAGAAAATATTTCTTTGTGAGCTCCAAAATCTCTGCAAGAGCCAGAATCGGTTTCGTCTGAGAATCTACTTTGCTCGACCCATAATATAATTTGTTTCTTCTTCTTCTTCTTCTTCTTCTTCCATAGCTATTGTTGGAGTTGCCTTATGAATGAGTTCCTTTTGCTCTTGTTGTTGCTCGAGCTCTGCCTTGACGGGATATTGTAGTACACCATTTCTATGTTTCAAGAGCTCTCGATCTGTATAAAAAAAGATAATGATCAATTGAACTTTGTGCCAAAACCAATTTGAGCCATTGAGTTTGTTATATGATTTGATCACATGGGTTTTGTGTCCAATGGTTAAATTGAAAACTTTCGCAAGTAAAGATTTACCGATTGCGCATCTTGAACATATCTATTTTTCATCTCTGAAAACTGAAAGCTAGATAAATCGAATCATGATGGAAAAAAGGAAAACTTCTGATGGTGATTCTCTAACTTGCATTAGCATTATAGTGGACATATCGAATTGATAGTTTGATACAATTGACAGGGAAACCAAGAAATCCTTTATTTGTTAACTTGTTTGTTTTCCTGTTGTCTTTCTGTATTCACGGAGAATGCTATATTAGAGGAGAATATATGCGGTAGAGTTAGTTTACAGAAGATGATAAATGTAGTAATCCAAAAATTGAAGAGAGAAAAAACAATGTCTATATTCTACAAAATAAACGAAATCCAAATGGCAGAAACTTCATTTCACTGCATAAACAGTGAGAAAAGAAGAACAATAGAGGGATCCGTACCTGTTTGAAAAGCTCCACCAACGAAGAAGATAAGAGGACAAAAATAGTTTTGGGAGACAAAAAGATTTGGTGTGCACGTTGAATCGATAATGGTTTTGGAGTGAGGAGAAACGAATGGGCATATATCATCAACCACTGTACTATACATTCATTAACATATCAATTTAATTGTCTTACATAATTGTACCAGTCGTATAACGTACATTTCAATGGGAAAAGTCAAAGCGAGTGGCGTTTTTATTTTTTTGTTTACCCCACTAAATATTAATTACATGTAATGGTTATAAATGCGGTGCAAAATAATAGTGACTGGATTAAAGACATGTAATTTTTCTACGCATGTGTATCGTATTTATGTAATAAATATCATCTTTTTGTTTTTTTAAAATACCCCACAGTTTGTTGATTATATAAAATAAAAACATTTTTTTACATATCTTTGTGGTTACTTTTTTCTTTTTTTTGTGTCAAAATTAATATTAATGTAATTGAATGTTTATTGGATGGAATTTTTATAAGCCAATCCAAAATTTAAAAAGAACGTAGAATCAAAATTTTAAAAACGCCGTTTATGGATTATATCAAATAAAAACTTTTTGAAGATATATTTTTAATTATTTTGTGAACAACTTTTTTTTTCTATGTAAAATACATGTAGGATCATTTATATAATAAATATGATACTTTTATTTTTATAATTAGAATATCATTTACCGATTATATCAAAAATAAACTTTTTTAAAAACCTTTGTTATATGTAAAAAATAAGACTAATGTAATTAAATGTTTATATAAGTAATGGAGATTTTAATAAGCCAATCAAAATCTAGGAAACTTCCATGTAGGATGATGAGGTGTATATAACTAATGGAAATTTTAATAAGCCAATCAAAATCTAGAAAACTTCCATGTAGGATGATGAGGTGTCCTCACCAAATCACTTTAAACTTCTTTATTAATATATATAGATAGATTTTGGTTATTTAAAAATCTACAATAATACTTGTAATAAAACATGAAATCAATAGTAAAAGAGTGGAACAAAATTTATTATGACACACGCTATTTAATTGGGTGAATGCTACAATTATGACTTTAAGACTATTTAATTGGAAATGGTAACGTAATTTTATTATGTATTCCAATTTCCAACAGGTGAGTGGTAAAATTATTACTTTAAGATAATTAAGGCAATTAATTGAGAATGATAACGTATAATAATTGAGAATGGTAACGTGATTTTATTATATATTTGAATAGGTGAATGGTGTAATCCAAAACCACAAACGCTTGAGATAAATCGAATCGACGAAGGGAAATAGGAGGATGAGATTGGTCGCGAAGTACAACATGAAGATAGACAAGTACAAAAGAGCGGGGAGGAATGTTTTGACGCCGAAGGAGGGTTACGGGTTTCCGGAATAGTTGAAAAGAAGTGGGTTTAGGGCGAAATAAGGTGAGCGAAAAACCATAAGCCGCAGATAAGGCGTTGATGGAATATATGATCTACGTAATGGACAAGAGGGCAGTTGCATGTGTCCGATGATTAAGGTTTTGCTCATATCTTCTTTCGTAGCGGGAGTTTCCAAAACAAGTACGAATCTCTCTCTCTCTCTTTTTGGTCAATGTTGTTGCAGGAAAAAAGGCTTTTATCATTTGTATTCTGTTTGTTTTTCTGTCTTTGAATTTACATTCATCATCTTGGTAAACTAACTCTGTTAATTGTACATATTATTCTATAGGAAATATGCAAATTAACAAGAGCAAAAGGAGGAACTCATTCAAAAAGGCGAACCCAACCTCAACTATAGAGGAAAAAGAAGAAAAAGAAACAAGAAAACATGTACATGTGATCGAAGTTTGGGTGGCCTAGTGGTGAGAGAACATGCAAGGCATGCTCTCACCCTGGGTTCAAACCCAAGCGTGGGGGAGAGGCATTCATATGGACTTCTCCGATTCTCTGGAAGATGTAGTCGGGCCAGATGTTCGGTGAACTTCCAGATTATCAAAAAAAAAAAAAACATGTACGTATGAAAATTGACAGAATTAAGAAGAACATATGGTAGATTCTCCTCAATTAACATGTCGTCATTTCTTCTGTAAAAGATGGTATTATTATGATATTATATGTATATAAAAAATTATATATATATATATATATATATATATATATATATATATAAAAATATATATATATATATATATATATATATATATATATATAAATTAAATTAAACCTAATATATTATTATATGATTATTATACACACAATTGATAATTTCACAAAAAGTTAATTTTATTGATATATTTTTTACATCAAACAAATAATGGGTTATAATTTAATTTTATGTACATCGCAGATCTCATCAAAGCTTTCGCGTGATGGTTTGTTATTCATTAAAAAGAAAAGCCAAAAGTATTGATTATCAATTAGTATTTTCTACTTTTTTAATGAATTCCAAATTGTTATATTATTGTCTTATTAGTGTCACAGAATTTAAAAAAAATCTCAAGTTAAAAAAACAGAGAAAGAAATAGATGATCCAAGAAATATGAGATTATTGATCAAGAATAATAATGACCTTTCTGCTTTTTATGAACACATGTGTACTGGATTACATTACCATTATAGCGTGAGTCAACGGTAATGAAGACAAAATCCTAAATTACAAGAGTACTATGTTAGATTACCACTATGCTTTTTATCCCCTTATCATTTATATTTTACATGCATGAATACTATGTTAGATTATATCTATATCTTTGATCGATAATTTTAACGTGCGTACCGTGTATTATGTATATGTATATATGTGTTTGTCAAGACATAATTTTAATAACAAATTATAGAGTTTTTATAACTTGGTGAATAAATGATACATGATTGTGACTAACATTCAGATTATATAATATTATATTAATAACTTTTATTCTAGACGATTAAAATAAACTATATATGTATGTACTATGTATGTATTTAAGTGTATATATAGGTTTATTTATTAATATACAAATGAATAGTTAGTAAAATACTAAAATATGAAATTGAAAATTGTCGGAAAAATACATATTCGTGATAAACTGTTCTTAGATTTGATCCTCTTTATTTTATATGCATTATGATATTTTCTGTTTAATGTTCTATTCGGTTATGACTTTTGGATTTGAGAGATTTTAGTAGGAAGATGAGATATTGGATTTGGAAGTGAGAGGAGCCATCAATGTGGTGAAGGCGTGGGCGCAAATATAGACCATTGATAAGGTTGTTTTCTCTTTTCTCTTAATGTTGCAGTCTAGGAGATAAATTTAATCATTTATATTTTTTCATTAAATATATATATATATAATAATACAATAATATCTATATTCTTTCATTTCTTCTATTTTTTATGTATATAATGATTTAATATTATGATTAAACTTTATATCAATAATTATTTCTAACAAAATTTATCTTTTATATTCTCGAACTATATATTTGTCAAATGTTTTCAATACTGAGGACAACTAGGTAAAATCATTAACATCAAATTTATACAACATTTATACAATGACACTCATATTCATTCACTATTTTACTTCTTTATACAAATAATGTAATGTTGATTTTATAATAATTAATTTTACTGATATATTTTTTCTATATCAATTTATAATATATTCATATCAACAAAATTTACAAAAATATAATAAACAATAAATGTTTTATATTATAGATGTATAACTAAATATTATCAAAAGTTTGAGATAAGGTATATAAATTTAATCAATTGAAAACAAACCGTAACTACAATCTTTAAGAATGTCATTTTTATTAGTAATTTATGTCAAAAAACTTTTTTTGTAGAGACCCACAAAAATATTGAAGACCCAAGAACAAATCATTGACATAAGACTAAATACATCTATTTTTACTATATAATGAATAATACTAATTTTATAATAATTTAATTTTATTAATATATTATGTCTATATTAACTACAAAATTTATATCATTTTTTATAACATTTATATTAATAAAATTTCTAAAAACAATAATCAATATATATAAAAAATCATCCGCGCATCGCGCAGGTTTTCTTCTAGTTAGTACAAATAAATATGATTAGATCTTGCAGATTAGAAGTAAGCTTATGACTAATATTAAATCTCAACTTGATATTATATTTTTCTATTTTTAAAAGTAACGTTCTTTATATTTTTACTGTCTCCAAGTTAATATTATTTTTTACTTCAATGACTTATCAAATAAGATTTTACTACGATTATAGTTCTGTTTTTTATTTATTTTCAAAAAAAAAATGCACCCTTCTATGTAGACGAACAACTAGTCAACGACGATATAGACTGTGACAAATAGTTGTGGGTTGACGCTAATTTGACGAGTAGTTCAGTTACAGATTGAGATGTCCAATAGATGTGTGAGGAGGAATGCTCATAAATGGTAAATCTGGAACAATATAATATTAAATGAGATTTTATAATTATTTTGGTAAATAGCTAGATTTTGGCTGAGGTTGTTCATGTTTGTCATACTTCCCAATAAAAGAAATTTTGAAATTTTTTAAAAACCGGTGAAAATGTAAGCATAGGTAAAGGTGAAATACAGCAAGTGTGTGTAGAAGCCAGCTAATGTGTCAGATATGCATAATGTATATATGTGGGACACTAATCTTGTAACATCTTGGGGGCATCATTGCAGTCCATCAAATATATGTATATATGTATGTATGTTGATGAGGACCTCAGAATCCCGAGCGATGTATCAAACTATGTCTTGGAGATAAAAGAACGCATGGAGATGACGTCCCACCCGAACACAAGGAGATCATCATTCGAGATGAGTCACGAATGGCTGTACAAAATCCGAAGCATGCACACTTCTATTCTCGGCCCGAACTACCGTTAACTCGAGCCAAAGCACGTACTCTTCGACAACACGTCAAACATGTTCGTCTCATGCCTTAAAACGAACCTTGAGTCGAAGAATGCAAGCTTACCTTCATCGGACCAGCCAAGACTCAACTCTTCTCCATCTCAAACCTTAATTTCGGCCAAGAATAGTCAAGACACAAAAGGGAAGCTTC